ACCCAACTATCCATTCATCACCACCAGGGTCAAGCTAAGCCCCTCCCCTTCAGACTGAACCCAATCACCTCCTGTCCCTCTGAATCCAGGGTCAAGCTAAGCCACTCCCCTTCAGACCGACCCCAACTATCCATTCACCACCACCAGTGTCTAGACCTCGGGGGTTTCATCGGATCGGTTCTCCCCTCCTGAATGATACTCCCGCACAACGGGGTCTAATCGCCAAAACTCCACTACATTCATTTGTGTATTCCTGGCAATAAATATGTATTCTTACATCAAAACCGTCTCTCCTGATTGAAATAGCAATAGCGTGTAACATTAACATTGCACCACATTGCAAAACCTGCAGGAACTCACTGTCGCTCAACAGAAGCATTGTATTGATCGGATACCATCACATTGTATGTTTGTAGCCTTTATTTAACCAGGTGAAAGCCCCTTGAGATCAAAAAATCTCTTTTTCAAGGGTGACCTGCAGGACATTAGTTACACATGTAACATAAAAACAACAGAACAACAATAAGGATGACATACAACCTAATGTACAGGGTACAGTTTACAAACTCTATTTACAGTGACAGGTACCATGAGTATCAAACAGCATGTCACCCAGCCACATAATGTGATAGAAATTCAAATGTAACTGTGAAATATCAATTTCTCTTGTTTTCAAAGTACATTACCTCTTTGCAATACTGAGCCAGGATGTCGTTAGACTTTCGCATCAAATGGTTGTTGACAGCCTCTCTGGAGACGATGTGTTTGAATTTCAAGAGCATGTCAAAGGCAGCGGCCGAAGAGCGCTGTGTCTTAAACGACTGATCAATAAGGTCGACGGCCACCAGCTCAATAGCCTGAACAGACGCATGTGAGAAGTTAATCAGCTTGATAACTAAGGTACAGCAAAAAGAAAATGTTATTTTATTTGGCGCAAACTTAAAAACACACTGATACGACAATGCTTAATTCACTTTCATGTTGTATAGCTTCTGAATTCCAGATGTCCCAAACTCACCTGAACTGTCTTGTTAAAGTCTTGCATGATCGTTTTCCAGCCGCTCATCATATGGATTTTGAAAATATCGCAACTGAATTCTTCAATAGGCACAATCAGCCCATCCACTCTGCATAGCACATCATCAATGCGTTTTGGGTCACTGGTCACACCTTTTAGCTCTGGACCAAAGATGTTATAGAACTCTTCCAAAATCTGCACAACACAAATAAAGAAAAAACTCTTTCAAAAACCTGAGATGTTTTTTTTTAACACAGTCTGAAAATCCGTGAAGTATGTGTACACACAGACCTGCAAAACATTCAGCAGGTCCTGACAGATGGAGGCAATGTAGTCGGTCATCTCAAACAGTTTCTTGCGGTCAAATTCCCAGCGTTGATTCCTGCCTGATTCTTCAATTTCAGCACGCACCTCAAAGTAGGAGGATTTCCACAGGTCGAGGACCTGTTTAGCATCACGCACCTTGGATTTGGCCACTTCCCTTTTATTTCTGTCCAAGCACAGCTCATTGTTAAGTTATAACGAAACCTCAAAACAGCTTATCTAAATAAAGTACTGACAAATATTGACATAATAAAATAGGATTCATTCAACTCTCTCTATAAGTTTAAATGTTTTCACACATACTTGAATAGAGTGCTGACTCCGATTATTGGACGCACACGTTCACACAGCCGCCAGGCAGTATGCTCCATGAGAGGGACCATGCGCTCATTTGTGTTGTAGTGGCAAGAGATCATCCACACTACTTGCAGACTGCCCATCAAATCAGGGATGGTCTCAAGGATCCCACTCAAATGTGATGCAGTAGCTAGATTCTACAACAGACAACGGTAAGGTTGATAGAAGTGACGGTGAGGGCAGGAGGAAAATTCTGTGCTACCACCAGTTCCACTGTCCTTTCTTAAAAGACAAATAATATTTCTATCTTAAAAATATTTAGCGGTATTCCTATAAAAAGTGCAGCTCACCAAGAAGTTTCTTTTCAGCGTGGTGAGGAAGCAAAAATTGTCGTCTGCCTCCACGCGGTATTTGGTGAGTGCAGCGACCACTCCTTCCAGGGTCTGAACAATGCTTGAATCTGCTTTGGTCATCACTTCCAGAATCTTCTTCACTACGGGCTGATTGAGTTGCTCACTCAGAACGTTCAGGACGGATGCACGCCCCTGCCAAAGAGCTATCTCGGCCAAAGGGCCAGGAGCCTGGAGGAAAAGGAAAACTGATGTTCACATTTGTCAATTGGAAATCACAGTGTATGTGTTTGTGTTGTGGCTGTTTCACAAAGATTCACAAACCTGCGGCTTTTTGTTTTGTTGTTCCTCCACAACAACAGTAATCTTAGTCTGCCAGTTCATCAAACACTGCTCCAACTTCTCCACCATCTCTGGGTCAGACAGCAGTACGTCTACCGTTGGCTCCAGGTCTAGCTCAGGTATGTGCAGCACAATCTCATCTGCGACAAAGGTAAGGATCTTAAAATTGAACTGTGAAATCAACCCTAATGCATTGAAAACTCCATTTACAAACCAAACCAGAACTTCTTCCCAATAGTTTATAGTAAACAAAGTCATTTAACAGCAGGGAAAGCAAAGAATATTTTGGGAATGTGAGAATTTGGGGAATACCATGGAATTGTTTTAACTCTTTGGAGTTCAATACCATCTTTACTTGTTTTTCTAAAAGTCAATTTCTGATAGATTGTGAAATAAAAAACAATGAGCCCATGTTATATTAAATAAATCAAACCTTCAATATAAGTTTGTTGGATAGTTGCCTCAAGTTGGCCCAAAAACTTGTACGTCCTGTGAAGCAACTCATCACGAATCGTGAATTGCCCACTCGGCTTCGCTGGACTCCCCTCTTCTCCCTTTCCACCGCCAACTTCCCCGCTCTCATAACCGGCACCAGTCTCCCTCATCCGCTCGGCAGTCATTAAAGGTATATACATCTGAAAAGAGACATGTCAAATGTATCAAATAAGAAGTTTTATTAATATTATGTTGATGGTAACCATTTTTCCCACTGTTAATGGTTGCTGCTGGTTGTTTGTCGTTTTTTTCGTACTTACATTGACAAGTCTTTGATGCAGGGAAACAAGGGGATCTCCACTATGACGACCAATGGTAAATAGCCTGCCCATCACAAAAGGGGTCTCCTTCTTGTTCATTGGCTGAACAATGGTGTCTATTAAAAACACACATAACAACATCTTGGTTTATCATTTGCATGTGCAACAGAGAGAGAATGATATTGATGTGTCTTCTCACCTTTTGTGTTCCTGATAAAGTAGAACACAGTAGATTTCACAAATTGCTTTGGGAAATCATTTACGGACATATGAAGCTCAATGTGACGAACAACTTGGAGCTCAAGCCCCTAGAAACACAAAACAAGAAATGTCAAACTCATACACAATTGGAAAGCAATTACCACAAGAGGAAAACAATTCAAGTTTGATCTCACATGTATGGGACTTACTTCACATATCTCTTCTGAGTCTGAGGGTATCTCTGCTCCACTTGGAGAGCAATCAGCATCTGAAGCATCATCTGTCTTCCTTTCTGTGGTTATCAAGGGTGTAATTGCAGAATAGGTGACCATGTACAACACATTTAAAAATAAAGGACTAAAAACCTCCCTCAAGACAAGGGAAAAAAGAGAAGGGAAACATCCTTTTTCACCAAATGTATTAATCAGGATCTGAAGTATATATAAATAAAACACTTGCAACTTGGTAGGCTAGAGGCTACAAATCATGCAGTCATAGTCTTTGATGGATAGAACAGCTTTAAAAAACACAACTCGATGACATGAGGATGATTGAAGCATGGCATGAAGTATGGTTTTCCATACAGGTAATAACAACTGATACCAATAGGTGGCTTCTTCTTGCTCCTTTTACCAACTTACAGTATAACCAGGTTCCTTTCAGTGAAACACAGGTTTTGCCACTTTTGTAAGGTATTATATTTAGTATTTGGAGATATACTGCAGTTACATTCACAAACCACCCTGCAGTAAATAAAAATAATACAAATTAGTTCCATCTAGTTAATCTTTTTAACATTAATGCATCAATAATTATAATGAAGACATACCATGATTCTGAAATGGGCCAATTTGCATAATAGCCTATGCACTTTAATTTTTTGTAGGCCTACCACATTTTTATTTTAATGCACTTTCACTTGAGTCATATTTTGAATGCAGTACTTTTACTTCTAACACGAGTATTCCTTCTCTCAGGTAAATTGACTTTTACCTAAGTACAAGATCTGAGTAGGCTACTTCTCCCACCTGTGATGATCAACAACCTGTGACCCGGATGTAAGCTAATAGCTACATGACAGTCACAAACTTTTGCAAACTTACCGAGTGGAATGTTAACTTCAATTTCTTCCTCTCTTACAGTTTTGAAAAACAGAAGACACGATGGCGAGTTTTCATCGGAGACAAAGTCCAAAAAGCGGAGAATGTCTTCTTCTTCTTCTCCATCTCCCTGACCGAGTAGCTCGTCGAAAGGGTTGGGATTTTCGGGCAAAACGAAGCCAGCAGTCACGCACTGCCGGATCCACTCCACCCGTAAATCGTCGTATTTTACCATATTGTTCACCTAGTTAACATTTGAAGAAGTTATTGATTCGTAACTACTTTTTTTTGTTAAATGTCCTTGGAAACTTCATCCTCGTAAGCTTGCGGTAACCAAGCAGCGTATTTAGTTTGGCGTTACCATAGTAACCACCAAACGTCTCGAGCTTACAACTAACGGTCGGATGGGACATTATGATCAATAAGAGACATTGTGTGACCCAGATGTAAGCTAATAGCTAAATGACAGTTACACACTTTTGTTATTAATCAGGATCTGAAGTATACACTAAATAAAACACTTGGAAGGGTAGATGCCAATACAAATCAGTTATGGTCTTTGATGGAAAGAACAACTTTAAAAAACACAATTTATTATTGACATGAGGATGATTTTCTCAAAGAACATGAACATGGAGTGTTTGTCAATGCATTTTGATTCTGAATATAAAACAAAATGGCAAGATTAGGCCTGAATTAGAAGACATGTTACCCCTTCAACCAACCCCTAAAACAATCCTACAGGCAAACAGATGGTAAACAAACCTCATTTGCCACAATAAAAAAGCAACCGCCACTTGTGCCAAGATTATAAACTATATTGATCCACTGTTGAAAGTTCACACACATGGTTATGACTTTCAGAAATATGTTGTATGCAAGTGTTTTGCCAGTGAATTTTCATTAATCTCAATGTTAATTTAGCAAAAATAAATCTATCCCAAACCATTCTAACAACTTTTGCAAATTAGCAAAAAACTTCTCGTGCCTAATATTAGTACATAAATCAACGTTATCCAAGAAAGATTTAATACAGCCGGGCAATTGATTTGGATGGCAATAGGGTCTTTCAAAGTAAGAGCTGGGTCAAAAACTGCTCGTAATGTTAATCTGTACAGTATGTGGCCGACTCAAATCCCCATTAACATGAATTTAATGTTTTTGAACACATCTTTTAAAAAAATAATAAATTAAAAAATATTTCTATAAAGTATATACATCTTAGCATCACACACCTTCTCAGGCACTTTTCAATCAGATCCTTCGCAGCGTTTTGTTAACATAAAGTAAGAACACAAGAGAAACTGAAGAATGATACAGTATGCTGTGGCTTGGTTGTAATTCTGTAAGGCAATCAGTGCAACAAAAACTGCCAAAACTGAAAAGTATTCATATAAACAATATTCCAAAATTGATTAACCTAGGAACAGAGGAGAAATGGAGGATAATGTTATTTTCTTAAAAAGGTAAAGTTTATGTTATTTTTTTACGTTTATCCTGTTTATATAGCAAACCCCATGTGTTCATTCCTGTTAAGTTATCTCATACTAAAATCACTCAATCTTTTTTCACATATTTTTCAATGTGCAAGTGTCATCAACTGTAACCAGGATGCCTCAGTAGAAAAATGGTTTTACGTATACAAGTTACGTTTAAATCTAAGCCTCACATTTCAACCTCAAGTGAAGCAAACTGATGCTGGTGGTACAAAACACCCTGTCTTACATACAGTACACTTGCAATTATTGTTTCAAAGATGACAAGAACATTCAAAATCCTCTCATGACTTCTTTAGAACATATCTTTAAAAGCAGCTGTTTTTGGCTCCTTTAACCACCTAACCATTACCACATTCCCTTCACAGTAAGCCGTCATGTTCAAAGCTGGATGGCAGGAGAGAGAAGGCAAAGGGGCAAAGCTTGACTCCAGTCCCGCTGTAGAATTTATTTTGGAACTCCACCCTGAGGAAGAAACAAGCACCCACTGTGAATATAAAACACAGAGATAATTCAAGGCCCTTTTATTGACATAAGTGGTTATTGTTATCTTACCAGTGCAACCGGAGAGCATGAAGGAATGCAGACAGACCCTCCATTACCAGGAGGATGGACACAGTAAGAACGGCAAACAGGCAAAACACAGGCACTAGGAATAAAACCCCGAGAGTTGTGTCCATTCGTAGTCCAACTCGCATTACCATGGCCCACAGCACCTCTGATAGCTCTGTGAAAGCAAAGAAAAGAGAACGTGCACAATCAAAGTTACAGCAAATTGATACAAAGCACATTCAGGCTGATCTCAGGTCTGTGTGGTTCTGCATTTGTTTACTCCGATGTAGACTTCTACTTATGTCCATAATGATGCCAAAATCGTCATTTTCAAGTTCTGCAGATCATTTAATCAGATTGGTTCACTTTGATCACAGGTTAATTATAATTGGTAGTCATATGTACAGAATGGGCTCATATTCCTCAGTTAAAAAGGGAACAAACACAATGTGGTTATCATCTCGCAAAACCTAGACAAATAATGATACTCTTGGGTTATATTTAATTGTGTACACTCCCTGTGTTGGGTGTGTGTTTTCACAGGTTTGAAAAAGGGATCGACTAACTGAGTGTACTGTAAACTATCATACTCACGGGCATGTGCCAGGCTCAGAGCCCAGAGCCTGAGGTAGGAGGCTGTGTTGGAGACGCAACCCAGGCAATACTCTATAGTGTGAATGGCCTGATGAAGGAACTCATCTCCAAAGTCAAACTATGACAAAAACAAAACAAAGTCAATGAAGGAACTAAGGACAAAAATCAATGGTTGCTCATTAGCACGTTTAAGATGAACAGGTAACGATCTAGTTGTGTGATTAAGCTGACCTCCTCTGTCGGGCGCTTTCCACTGGTGGAGAGATCACTGTGGCCGCTGCCCTCCTCCATGTCATGAGCCCTCATCAGGTAGAGCTCCTCTTCACTGTTACGCCGTACACGCTCATATCCCTGAGAACACGCAGAGAAGTTACTCAAACCTTTAGATTTCACATTCAGAGATCAAATATTTGGAATAGTATTTCACACAGTATGCAAACGATCACACACAGACATGCACTTCGAACTCTCACCCTGTACATCCCTATGCGGTTGCTGCCGTTGTGAAGCCAGTAAAGGTAGACAGGTTTCCCCAGGAGTAAGACAGGCACGGAGAGAACAGCAATGACCACCAGAAACACCTGCAGGCCGGTCTAGAAGAAGCAAACAACATATTGTTATGATCCGTCTCGGTGACATCTCCATATTTTTTTAATATTATTTAAAAACACATTCAGATTCATTAATTTACTTTGTATAGTTTTTACTGAAAGCATATTCAAATAACGTAGTGAAAAAACCATAGCTTTAATTACAATACATTTGTTAGATAACTAAATATTGTTCATTCTAAATAAATACAGAGCAAGCTCTCGTTTAATGTGTGTTTTAAACAACAGTAGACTTTATCACTTTACTCAGAGCAAGGACATGATTTACACTGTTGTAGAAATGGTGCTTTATATTAGTTTCTCACCTGTCCTGGGTAGAGGGGCTGCATTCCGTCCCCCTGCATGAGGAACATGTTTATGAAGTGGATGAGGATGCTTGGAGCGAGTCGGGAGTCCTTAGCAGTGAACACCAGCCACTTGTAGATTATCATGAACGCCAGGTAGCCAAACAGACACAGCAGGAAGAGGAGCTCAGGGAGAAATACCAAGTAGAGGTTGTACTTCTTCTTAAAGTGCCTGTTTTTGATGACAAAAATAAGACAGGCTGTTAAAAACACTATAATCAAACAAACATAAGTGCATTCAATGTAAAAAAAAAAAGTTACTTACAAGTGATTATAAGTGCTGAGGATGACCCCAAAGCTCATGTGTATGATGCCCAGTATTACTGACATCTTCATCTTATACGAGTTCAGAAATGTAAGCCGGTTGGATGCCAAGTTCCAGATCTGTGCACAGAAAGATGACAGATTGTATTTTTATATTCTATAAAATGTGATTTTGAGTCCAGGGATTCAACACAATTCATTGTTTCCACAGAAGTATATATACAGTATATATATATTACCAATAATCAAGCCAATAACTAAGTGTTTACTAATACTGATCTTATTTACTGTATCAGCACCAGATATGGCAATTCCACATTAATGGTTGTTCCTTTGTCATTATTGTTCTTACTGATTGTTAATTAATAAATAATTAGCATTTGCTCAAATCCTGATCTTAGGGAATTATTGTCAGTAGAAAAGGGTGCAGCTGTAGAGACAGAATAACGTGCTTGTGTATGAGTGCATGTGAAACTTTAAGTGCACATATCCTGGAGATGTGTTTATTGTGATTCTAAGTCGGACATTTGCTCTATAACAACATCACAATGATGAGAAGCAATCAGGCCCATCTTGTAAATGAGGTTTTATAGGATAAATCATGTCATTCATGATGACTAGTCCTTCAATACTCACCGGGTCAATTCCCAGAGGGTACGGTCCAGTGAAAACTCCCGTAACATTTGGATCTAGAGTGAGAAAACGATTCCCACGGATATCAGCAGTCCTGTGGGAACACACACAAAACAGCCTTGTATCAAATGAAGGTCAATGTGAAAGTAATCCATAAGACTTCTCGGTTTTATTTCTTAAAACAACTATAGTAGGTTCTTTATAACACTTCTTCACAGTAAATACTTTCTTTGCCTGCTTAGCTGCTTTTACTGTTACAATGAAGAATGTTCTAGGCGGCAGGTCTCCCTTGTAAAAGAGATTGTTGATCTCAATGGGATTCTTTACCTGGATAAATAAAGGCTACAAACAAACTCACTTCCACACCCCCTCTGTGAACATGGCCTTCACACTCCATCCAGAACCAAAGATGTTAAGGGACTTGGAGAAGCAGTCGTTGTAAATCAGGCCAGTGTAGATGGAGAACAGGCCCATCATCAGGATGATATAACGCCCCTCAAAGAATGTGTTCCAGATCTGCACACACATCAGTTACACTTGGAACATGCTGAATGTCACACAAATGAGTATCAGGTCAAAAATAGCTTTGGAGTACTCGCTCACCTCATTTCTGGTGTTTTTAAGTTTGCGGTTGTTCTCGTACAGCACCATCCAGAGAGCAAACAGAGCCATGATCGCTCCATGGCCCAGATCCCCAAACATCACCGCAAACAGGAATGGGAAAGTGATGATTGTGAAAGGAGCTACAATTTACAAGTAGGAGAGAAAAAAAAATAACTTCATTTTTCTGATGTCTACAATCACAATCATGTTGCCGTCACATAAGAGAAACAAAGGATCCCACTCACCGGGGTTAACTTCTCTGTAATTGCCCACTCCATAGGCGTCCACAATGTTCTGGAAGCCAGAGGTAAATTTGTTGGTCCTTATCAGTGTGGGGGGAGCGTCGTTGGTGGGGATGCGATTGACAAAGGAAGGAACCGTCGATCCGCTTTTTCTCTGAAATATCATAATGTTAGCATTTTGCCATTAAGGTAATATACCATGTCTTGAATCATTTGGCAAAAGAAAAACAATACATGCAGATAAAAAGGAAACCCTCAGCTTTATTTATCTCCAACCCAAGTACACACTCTGTCCTCTGCAGCCTGAAAACTGAATGAATAGTGGCCTTTCAGTGCCCTCCTAAAATCCTGTCTTTTAACTAAACAAGGATAAATAAAAGCAATGCCTCATTCAGTAATCTAATGATAACAATACAACATTTCATGGAGCAAATGTCCTGGTTAAATAAACAGAAAGCCTGTGGTGGAGCCAAAGTCAGAAATAGAGCAGTGCTGTTTGGAGTTTCCTCACCGATCCTTCTTCCAGGGACCTCTGCAGTGTGGGAATGTCATCGACAGGACACCACACCTCAGCGATCAGACACTTGTTAGTAACGTCCAAACTACACAGGTTCAGAATATAGTAGATGGCCTTCATCTTCTTGACCTGGATGACCCAGGTGTAGACGGATTCTGAGGCCTTCATCAAAACCTGCTTCAGGTAGTCCTCCGTCCTGTGGAGTACCTGCACATGGTGAGAGGTAAACAGGATGCTTAGTGGTGTTCAGAATCTAAAAGATATTCAAGACTTTCAACATTTACAAACGGTGACCCTTTTTTAAACGTACATGAACAAAGAAAAATATGCACTTATATTTTAAACACAAAGCTTTTGTGAGTGTTTTTAATGTGTGAATTATTAAGATAAAGAGCAGAGAAAGAAAGGGGAGTGGATGAAAAAAAACATGCATGAAAGAAAAAACCTTTCCAGCCGAGGTCTCATGTTGATCATGTGCTAAGGGGGTGAGTGCAATTCTATTTTTTCATCACAGTGGGTTAAAGCTACCACATTATTCACTCAACAGAACCCATAGCTGCCAAGTCTGGCTCAAATAATTGTATTATATATATTTTATATTTTAGAAAATAAATCAGCCATTTCAAGACTCAGTAAAAACACGGCAATGTGCAAGCTCGTGTTGGATGTTTCTTGAAACTGGGAAAAATAACTCATTAGGCGCTTTCACACCGGAGTACTTTTCCCAGTATAGTTCCGATATAGTTCCGAAAATGTGTGTTCACACCAAAAAAATCCAGAACTAGAACTTAGTTCATGACAACCTTTCCACCCCCTTTTCAGTCCCTGCTAGAGAGCAGGAACTTTCATGGGAGAAAAAGGTTCCCATTTCTGATTGGCTGGGCGGATTGCAAACCACGGCCCGTAAAACTCCCAAAAAGCTTTGTGAAGCTGCCATTTTATTTGCTCGCATTAGCATTATTAGCATCAGCATTAGCTCAGCGCACCAACGGAGAGAGACTAACTTATGGCAACACAAAATAAAACGTGGGAGCGGTAGAGTGATGAGGAGGTGTCGGCGTTCTGAGGTCTTCTTTGTTATTTATTGAGCTTTAAAACAAATTGATAACGACTCTATATAATAATAAAAGAATAATAAACGGAGCCTCTCTTTTCCTCCCCCTCTTCTGAGAGTCCAGCAGCTGATCTCTGAGCAGGAGACTTGGGGAGAGGGACTAAGTTCTCATGAACTAAGTACGGAAAAGTACTTGGTGGGAAAGCGCCTCTTGAGAGCTCATTGTTGAAAATGATCAAGCGTATATTTGAACAGTCAGATGTCAAGCCTTTTGTGAATGACTGACAAACTGCCAGTTTTTCCTGTCACTGTTTAAAAGTCTGCATAATTAGATAATAGACAATAGACATACTGTGTGCAGGTCCTGAATGCGAGTTCCTAGTCCTTCCACAACATCATTCCTCTCCTCATTGCTACTGGGATACGGATACAAGTGACAGTGGTAGCTGTGGAGGGAGAAAAGTAAGTTATTAACAACTCAGCTACAACTAAAAACAGATAGCAGTCATTTTCTGTCAAAGAAGAGCAACAACAAAACAAAGAATTATTACCAATCACAGATCTTCTTCACTTTCTGTCCGATCTGGTCTCCCCAGTAAGAGATGAGGAACACCACACGTTTGGAAGGCTCCCCCTGCAGATAGAGCATGAAAGTAAGTGTTATAAATCAATGAAAAGGCCCCGTCGCTTCATCCATTAAACATACAATAAAATAAATGGGCCCAGAGTAAATGATTTCACAAAATGACCTAAATGATGTATTAATGTTTGTTTGTAACATCAAGCTGTTCATTTCCAAAACATAGGAATTAGGAGTCATTTGTATTGAAGAATCATTTTTGACTTTTTGAAAATGCAGCAGAAAAGCACCGCACTACTTGATTTTTTGGAAAACAACTGGCATTTTTTTTTTATCTTAATGTCAGAAATCCTCTTTGCTCACCAGTAACTCATGCTTACATTGCTTGTAAATGTCTTGACATTCCAACAGTGATCAGTTGCAGCCCTGCATGACTGCCTTCTAGTCAAGCAGAGGAAATGGATAAGTGGATTAAGCTGTCACTCTTTGTGAACAGAGAAGATCACAGCACTCTCTCTGAACAGGAGATGTATGCAACGTTATCTTCAATTGTGTCCTATTACAGATTTTAACAAATAGCTTTTGTCCAGAATGGCAGGATTTTTATTTTTACATCTGGAATCACTCTAAAATATTTTGTTTATCATGCTAAATTGCTGTCGTATCAAAATTATTGAAATGTTAACAATACAAACTGCATTGGAATATTTTTTAATGTAATAATATTGTACAAAAGTAAATGATGGTTCATTTGCAATGTCATGGCCTTGAACATGGCACAAAAGATGTATGTGTATCAGCTTAAGAATTGTTTTAAATGCACAATAATGTTGCTCTTGACTACAAAAAGATATTGAAGAACAGAATTGATGTCCCCCAAAAGTCCTGTTGGAGCTATATATATATATATATATATATATATATTTTTTTTATATTATTTAATAGTGTAAGATTTATTTTCTTGCTGTTCATAGTGTTTATTATTATTATCATCATTTATTTATATGTATTCTTAGTTAGTGTCATAAGTTAAAGTAGTTTCTATGCTTTTATTTTGAAGGCATGTTTTGGGCACTGGGTGATTAGAGCACCTGGTGTAATTGTATATATTGGAGACAGGTGGGTGGTGGGAGCCAGAGCACTAGTAGGCAAACGGTTTTTTATCAGGGTGTTTCAAGCCACACAAGGGAAAGCTGTAGGAAAGGCTTAAGGAAAGAGATGTAGGAAACCTGTTCATTGTATTTTGTTATAGGAATAAAATGCAACGGAGAATCTTGTCTGGACCTGGATCATTGCCCTGCGTAAGATCCGCTAACTACTGCCTCAGCGGCTGTATTATTTTAAGTTAATTATCTGTTTTAGTTCTATATGATTTTGGCCGCTACAAGTCCTTTTCGTTTGCAGACATAGAAGTTAAGATCCCATCTGTTTCTTAGATGAGGCCCAATGTGTGTAAATTAAATACGTTTGTTATCTTGATTCAAATGAAGCTCCCTGCCTCTGAGGAACAGAGAACATGCATGTCATGCACATATTTCTTCAGCCTCTCTTGCTGATATAGTCCAGCAGATATGTGAAATATCTGAAAGAATTGTGCTTTTGATGATAAAAGCATGAAATTTGGCACACTGTTAGAGCATGCCCTAAGGAAGATTTTTGGCTATAGGGCCATTGCAAATTTGTCCAATGGCGCCAATGGCGGCCATTTTGAAAATGGCCGCCATTGGTTGTTATTTTACCAGTAGTTTTGGATCTTCTAGACTTCCTAGGATCTTGATTCTGGTGGCTAATCCTACATTTTCAAGGATGGGGAATGCATTGGTACTATTTACAACATGCTAGAATGTAGCTAACTATATGTATCTGGCATTCAGGGAACAAAATACACAGTAAACCATTAACATATTTATTATGGTGAAGTCATACATGTTACATAATATATATGAAATATTACAGGTTTTCAACTAAATGCAGACTTAGTTCTGAAAACACAGTCCACCACAGTGGCAAAGGGCAGTGTACTGAATTGCTGCCTTGACACATTTGCATTGTCCACTGCAACCCTTTTTGCATCCACAGCAGAGGAGTTCACAACAGGCCTGGTAATGTGGTCCAGTAAACTTCCCATCCACCTGTGGCCTTCCTCTTCCACCCCCAGTCACCTGGGGATGGGAGTTCAGGGGCTGCAAACATCATCTGTCCCCAGCAGTGACCAGCTTGGAAGGCAGCTCTCTTTGTGTGCTGAATCGATGCTCACTTCTCTACTTCCCCTCTTCTACGACCAAGCCAAATATGTGGCCATGATTCGTCATTCCATCGATGAGGTAAGTCAGGCATTAGAGATTCTGAATCCTGGTCAGATCACTCTGGATCAACCTCAATACGCTGTGGCAAAACAAACCCAGTAGAGCTGGCCAGCAACTCACAGTGAAGATCATTTTATTGTGATGTTTGTTGGGTTTCACATTGAGATGGCAGCACTCAAGGTACTTGGCGACCTCCTGGAGGGGTAGCGGGTGGACAAGAGCAGTGTTATGTTCCCAGTTCCACTTCTGGTCTATCATCCTGCAGCTGGAAATAGAGTTGATGATCTATGTGCGATCAATAAGAGAGGCCGACTTCCTACTCTACATAAATGCCTTGACCAAGATTGTGCCTTGGTTCATTTCATTTCA